ATCCATGTGTCCCTTGATGAGCACTTAGGTTGCTTCCAAGTCTGGGCTATTGTGAATAACGCTGCAATGAACACAGGGGTGCATGTACCTTTACAAATTGGTGTTTTCAAGTTCTTTGGATAAATACCCAACAGTGGAATAGCTGGATCATATGGTAGTTTATGCAGGTATAATGTATTAGTTTGCTAGGACTGCCATAACATGGTACATAGACTGGCTAGTTTAAACAACAGAAATGTATTGTCTCATTTTCGGAGACTAGAAGTCCAAGATCGAAGTGTTGGCGAGGTTGATTCCTTCCGTGGACTGTGAGGGACTGTTTCATGCCTCCCACCTAGCTTCTGGGGGTTGCTGGTAATCTTTGGCTTTTCTTGGCTTGTAGAAGTATAACCCTGATCTTTGCCTTCACCATCACATGGTGTTCGCCCTGTGTGTGTGTCTGTGTCCAAATTTCCCCTTTTTATAAGGACATCAGTCATATTGGATTAGAGTTCACCCTAATGAACTCACCTGAGCTTAATTTATCACATCTGCAACAACTGTATTTCCAAATAAGGTCATATTCTGAGTTACCAGGGCTAGGACTTCAGTATATGAATTTATTGTGTGTGGGGGGGAGGGGGGTGGCACAGGGTAGTAGGGGAGAAGGCAGAATTCAACCCATAACAGATGACAACAAAAAAAATCAATGTAGTGGGTTGAATGATGACTCCTCAAAAATATGTCCTGGTGCCATTCCCTGGAACCTATGAATGTTACCTTATTTGGACAAAAGAATCTCTGCATATGTAATAAAGTCAAGATCTTGAGAGGAGACCATCTTGGATTGTCCAGGTGGGCCCTGAATCTAATGGCAAGTGCCTTTATAAGAAAAAGGCAGAGGGAGATTTGAGACAAGTGCATACTGGACAAAGTGGTATGAAGACAAGGCAGAGATTGGAGTGATGTGACAAAAAACCAAGGAAGCCAAGGAATGACAGCCACCAGACAGACACTTCTCCCCTAGAGCCTCCAGAGGGAGCATAGCCCACCGGTACCGTGATTTCAGACTTCTAGCTTCCAGAACTGAGAGAGAATAAATTCCTGTTGTTGAACGCCCCCAGCAATTTATTATGGCAGCCCTAGGAAACTAATACAGGCAATCTGTTTGGGATGGAATTCTGTGTTTTTATTTTCTTTTTCTTGAAAGAGAGATACAATTCAAGACGATTTCAAGTGAGTATTTTAATGGAGCTCTCTTAAAATTCTCATTCACTTTTGAAGGGATGGTCAGAGAACATGCTAAAAATTCATGGTCTTTCAAACTAAAGTCTCCGATAGACCCCAATGCAGCTAAAATTCCAAAGGGTTCTGATCCTGTGAAACAGGTCCTCTTGTTCTGGATCCTCACACATGGTGTACATACAGATCCCGTTAATATGAATTCAGCATTCGCACTGGTGTGATTAGAGAGAAGTCTCCAGGGTTTTATCCCAAAACCATTGTTCTTCAAGGTCAATGCTGAGAAATAGATTATTCTAATAACTGACGTCCACTTTCAAAGTCGCTTCATCCTCAGCATTGCTCAATGTCTTACCATTTTATACAACTCCATAAAATAAATGTATTTTTCTAAATCTGCCTGGAAGTTTTCATTTAATATGCAAAACTCTTACAAAATGTGCCAGACCTAAAATAATGTCAGCTCATTCTAATGACATGCTAAAATTGGAGATTCTGAATAAACCCAGTATTCCAAAAGAATGCTGTCATTCCCCAATGCTATCTGTTTAAACAAACATTGTTTTTGTTGACTGGTAGTATCATGGAAACAGAGGTTTGATTTTGATCTACAGTAGAATTATAAAAATATAGCGTTCCAGAACTAGAAAGCTGGTCCTTCGGGCCCACTATTTCACCTTATAGTGGTGCAGACTGGACTTTATGTTTTGTGTAAGGTCACTTTTTTAGTTTTCTGTTGCTTGATAACCAATTACCGTAAACTTAGTATTTTAAAACAATATCTACTTAAGCTCTGTAGGTCAGTATTCCACACGTGGCATAACTAGGTTCTTTGCTCCGGGCCTCACCAGGCTGAAATCATAATGTCAGCCCAGGGTTTGATCTCGTCTGTGGCTAAGGTCCTCCTCTGAGCTCCTCCTTCATTGTTGGCAGGATTTAGTTCCTTGCAGCTAAAGGATTGAGGGCCTCATTGTCTTACCGGGTGTTGGCCAGGGTTTGCTTCCAGCTCTTAGAGGCTGTCCTCCAGCCCTAACCATGTGCACTCTCACAGCATGGTTGTTTGTGTGAGAGATCAAGATTTGGCCACCCTGCAATATATCTCTTTACCTTGATTGTTTTCTCTGAGGGACATTTGACCTCCCCCACTACCTGCCTAAGATTTTGACATAGTAACTCCTTCCTGGAACAGATCTTCTATCTGATGGCTGTAATATAATGTAAAATAGATGTTACAATAGGAAAGGCACCAACAAGCCCATCTTATCAGAAGTTCTGTCTCTCTGGCCACATTCTTTGGATGGCCCTTCGAGGAGTTGCCAGACAAAAATTTACATTTATAAGGGAAATTTCCATTTGTAAAGGTATCTCCCTCTCTGTTTTGGGAAGAGGGGGGATGGCCTCATTTCTAGAGACTTATCAATGTGGAAGGTGAGGCCTTAAATCTGCGTAATAACCTTACTCTTGTTTACGGTGCTTTAGTGGTAATCTCCTGTAACTGACTCCCCCCCACCCCAACATCCTCCTTTGTCATTGGCTGAACATGGTATTTAAGACTTCTGCTCCATGAAAGAAAATGTCAAGAGAAGAAGACAAGCCACAGACTGGCAGAAATATTGCGAAAGACCCATCTGATAAAGGAATATACAAAGGACTTTTAAAAGTTAACAAGAAGAAAATGAACAACCCAGTTAAAACATGCACAAAAGACCTGAACAGACACCTTACGAAAAAAGATATATAGACAGCAA